GTTAAGTTTCCATAAGCTCTTTCCATTATAGTCTCCCTAGGGTGGAGCCCATCGCTATTCGTTAAGTTTCCATAAGCTCTTTCCATTATAGTCTCCCTAGGGTGGAGGCCATCGCTATTCGTTAAGTTTCCATAAGCTTTTTCCGCTCCCCCACCACTCGCTTGGGGCCCCACTGCGACTGCTGCTGCGGCTCTTCTTTTTCCTTCGGTCCTGGACCCCATTCACTGGGGGAGGCTGAGACAGCGACCCGTCGGGTTGGTTTTCGCAAAAGACACTTCTCCATGTTCACCGGCTTTGTTCACTTCTTGACCAGAAGATGTGTTGTGGCACGTCGTGTTCCGAACCCAAAAACTCACCGAAGCATCCACATGGCTCACCGGTCGCCCCGACCGCGAGCGGGCCCGGTCGCGGCTCGCGCTCGCACCCGGCGCTCGTGGCCTTTCGATTTCGGCTTCGGCTACCGCTACCTGGCGCCAGCAGAGCAAAGGAGCAGTCCAGTTGCCGAGTTCATGAGCCAAGTCAAGGAATGCCAAGGGAGATTCTGGGATTGAAGTAGGATGAAGACGGATGAAGACAAATGCCCTAAAGATCCACCTTTGGAACCGGTCCTTTACAATGAATGAGCACCCAAGAAAGATGGGAATCTTATGGAATCTTAGGTCTTTTGGGTTTGACTTCCCCAGGATCTGTCTTGTCCCAACCAATAAGAACGACCCCTCCACCAGGCGCAGCCGCTCGACCAACGGGCTCCCGCGCTGCTCCGCCGCCGGCGTCGGCTCTTGCTCCGCTTCCGTCGGGCGCGGCCTCAGGTGGAGCGGACGGTCCGCGGGGGGCTGGGTTGGCATGTTTGAGCTCGGGGAGCGGTTGGCGACCGGGACATGTAGAAACTGGATGCACTTGTTTCAAGCCGTTTGAATCCCAACAGCACCATTTGTAGAGGTTGTTATTCCTTTTCGCGGAACTGAAGACCCGCCGAGCTCAGGCAGGCAGAGTGCTGACATGCGCTGCTTCGGTAGGGCACGGTGTCTGACGGAGTGCCTTTGCTTTGGGGGCAAGAAGGGCCAGGGCCAGGTGGGTGAAAAGTGGCCAGAGAGTGGAGTCATTGGATTCCAGCGGAGTATTCTCAGAAACCAGTACTTCTTGAACAAGGATGACAGGGCAGGCGGTTTGTTTTCTAGAAATTAAAAGAACTCCAACATATTCCAATCAAAACGACCAAGTGGTGCATTTAGGGTCCAATGCTCGGACCATCATGTGCTGAGCACTCCCTTGGGCCCTGCTTTACGACCATGGCCAAAGCGGGAATACAAAAGAGCAAGGTGCTTGATACAATCGCGGCTATAGACCCATGCGACACAACACTCATTCTGAGATTGAAAAAAAACAACTTATTACAAATATGCTATTCTGTTATGTGTATATGCTAATAATAAATAATGATGATAACAATACATTATATAGTTCTTCTCCGAGAGGCAGAAATCCAGTTCATTGGTTTTCTGGGTGGTCGCGATTGGTACTGACATGGGATTGAAACGGAGGGCTCAGAACTGCCGTGGTCCATGCGCGCACGCAGCCGGTCACCCACTAATCTTGCAGTAGTACACTGCTCTTTGTTGCCACTCCGTCATACTTACCCAATCTTAACCGGCTCGAGACAAGAACCCCACGTAGACCTGTATCACATGGAAGATATGGACAAAGAATTCCATCGATTCCTGGGGAGGGACACCTGGCGTCCCGTTCGCTGGCACTAGCTGCACCGCCTGGATGCCCCGGTAGCTGCCACGAACGAATCTGATCGGAACAGGTGTCACCCTGCCACCCGCGGAGTGCCCGGTGTCATCCTGCCCGGCACCAGCGCTCCCCCTCACCCCCGCCCATTGGGCACCCCCAACTGCTGCTGTCTTTTCTCTTGCCGCTTCGGGAGCGTCGCCGGCTCCTGAGGCTTGGAGCCAAGCGAGACATGTCGAGAGCCAGGCTCGAAGTCATTCCAAGTCCTTCTGCCGGAATCCTCGTGGATTTCATGGTCATGGCTGCACGAATCCAAACCCAGACTTGATGGACTGCTGTTGCATTTTATACTAGACCAAGGCAAAACAAAGAGGATCGCTCCATTTCAAGGTGATAGAGAGAGGGCAGCTACAAGGTTCCATGAAACGATATGGTGTAGATGGTCGTGCCATGATCTTGATCACCTAAACCTGTCAATGGAAACCACTCACCAAACCTGTTCCACATGAAGCAAGCAGCTTGACAGGCCAACTGGAATCGACAACACGTTCTTTGCACTGAGGTCGGTCACCGAAGTCCCGCAATCTGCAGAGAGATGGGAAAAACGGGAAGAGAAGTGCTGGGTCTGCTGGGTCGACAAGGGTGCAACCCTTGTTGCTGAACCAGGGATCTACTGCGAAATATGAACAACAATGATCGATGTGTGTATGGAAGAGTGAGCCTCGCATCTACTGTGATGGCTTGTGTATCCATCGCGTCTCGAAGAGCTTAGGCGTCTTCACAAGCCTAGCAGAAACGAGACCAAGGCTGGGATTTGGGACCAAAGATGGCGAAAATGATCAGCGGGGAATAGGAAGAGCCTGTGTGAGACGGAATAGGCGAAAGCAGCTTGCTCAATTGAAGCCAGTTCAATGTCTGCGGTTCGCGACCACAAACAACAAACCAATCAAAAGCCAGGGCTTCGTCTACCATGCTGGAAGGTCTCTATAGTTATTGACTACCCACCTGTCCCTGTACAACCATCAAGTCATTTCCAGTAGATCATTTTCCCATCGTTGGGACATGTTGGGACTGTCTCCATCCATCTCCTCTCACACGTCCGTCTCTTTGGCCATACCCATTCCACAGCGGTCCACGGTCCCGGCTGCACGCGGTCGACGTGTCCGTGTCCTTCTTCCGCGGCTGCGACCTGAACAGCCGTCCGGTGCGGAATGCCGCGGAGCCCACAGCAGGCAGAGGCGGCTCGTTTGGGTTTCGTTTCGTGTCGGTTTCAGACGGTGGGATGAAGTCAAAACCCGAAGCACGAGGAATAGAGGTATCAAAGAATCAAAGACCACACTGGAGCGGTGCGGGCTAGACGTGTTGTTCCTATCACCAGGACTCTTAAGCTTTTGTGCCTGGGGTGAACTGCTCGTCAAGGTTCCAAGACGCATTCCCCTCATTGTGGTGAGGGCCGGTACAGCTAACATGCGAATTCCCTTGTCTTATACATCTCATCTACCATCAATTCACATGCAGAACTGGAGGATCTGAAGGCAAACCCCAATCAAACAAAAAAAAACTGGTTCATGACTAGAAGTACCCCTGTCATGTTGCACCCGGCTTTTGTTCTTCTATAGTCAAGTCAAGTCAATCCGATCCAAGAATCGCAGTTGGACACTCGTCGCTTGATCATCGCTAGCACTGCTGTGGGTGGAGGAAGCTCCACACCGACTTATCCTCACGAGTGATGGTATTTCGGTCTTACAGGTGGTTCCAGATGTCAAGAATCAGCTTAGCTACTAGGCTACTAGTAGCTTCTTGCTACTAGTAGCGACTAGTAGCGATGGCCTCCACCTAGTAGCTTCTTGCTACTATAGTAGCAATGCCAGGAGCTACTAGTAGCTTCTCCCCTTCGATGTTTTGGACCAAGCTGCTTCGGCTGCGCTTCCGCTTGCTGCGGCTGCGACTTCGCTTTTTGCTTCGGCTGCGGCTACGCTTCCTGCACGATTCTGTCAAACTCCAGATTTCATGGAGGCCGGTCTGGTCCGAATGGAAATGGCATGGACCTCTGAAAACGTGCTTTCTTCCATGAACCAGTGGCCAAGGTGTGAGGTGTCATATCCAGCTGAGCGATTCATTTGGACTTGGTCCAATCCCACCTGTCAAACCATGCCCACACTCTCCCCACTCTCCCCACCAAACCCGCACAACCCGCTCCGCTTGCTGCCGCTGCGGCTCCGCTTTCGGCTCCGCGAGCGCTTCCGGCTGCGCTTGCCACTTCCTCGAGAAGAGCCCGCCCGTTCGCCCCGTTCGAAGTGGTGATCCTCCACGGGAAAGACATGGGTGAGGTTTTGGGGACGCAACAAAACAAGTGACTTAAGTGACTTTATACTTGATAGTGAGTGATTGAAGCATCCACGCAAAAGCTCAAGTGGACTCGATCATGACAGGTGAAATGTCAACAATTAACGGACTTGTGGTTCTGAGCCGGCAAGCGAAAACCTCAATTGTCAAAGGGAGCTGGTTCTACGAAGTTTCCAAGAAAACGCGAACAAGTAACTCAGGAAACATGACCTGCTCACCCCTCTGTCTCCAGGATCTTCGCCTCTTCTCTTCTGAAACCAGGACCTCCAAGGCAGACCAGTCCGACCCGTGCTCGCCCAAGCAACTGCTTTTATCCTTTTCTTTCTCCTTCTCCACTTTCTCCTCCTCGTTCGCCTCACCCTTCTCGCTCTGGCGCCAAGGACACGGTGTCGCTCCACCGATCCGGGAACCGAGTTTCGGGAGCCCGATCCGCAGCGGGGTCAAACTCGGTCAAAACGCACATCCAAAAGGAGAGGGGGTTTGAGCGCAATCTGCTTGTCAGGACTTAAAGGATTCCGAAGGACACCTCAACTTCTCGCATCCGACAGGCCCTCTGTCAGTGCTTGTTTTATCTGATTGGGCGTCCACCCATGCAGTAGAAAACACAGAAGAAGCTCCGTGCAGTTGGAAGAAACAACCAGAACCCACGTTTGGGGTCAGGGATACCCCTTAACCTCTAAAAGCCTACTAATAGACTTAGACACCCCTAAAGGGGCCTGGGAATAGAAACAATACGTATTGTGTGAAGAAAACAGCATTTATATAAAGAAGTTGCATGTGTTCGTTTTTTCCTGCCCTTGCACAACCAAATGCAGTTCCCGCATGTTCCCGCTGGACTCACCAAAAAATAATCACCACTAACTGCAGTTCCCACCTGTGGCTCGCTTTTAGAAAACTGCCCACCTGCTTGGCGACCAATTCATCCTTCTCCTTGCTGGTGATGGTCTTGACCTCCCAGATGCGCCATGTCACCGGGCGGATCCCGGCACGGATCCGGGGAGGTTCCGACCAGGACCCGCGGCAGGAGGTGCGTTCTTCCATCGAATAGCCTTCCAAACACCACACGCATTGAAAGGAAGGCAGAAATGTTTCTAATTGAATGAAACGTCTGGTTTTGACATCCGAGCTCATCAACTCGGTGAGTGAATCTCCAGAAATGACTCTGGCGCCCCATCCGCCCGTCCCCACACCAAAAGTGGCTGCAACGACCAAAACGGCTCGGCCAAGGACCCAGGCAGACAAGGGGGCATCACCGCCCATTTCCTTGCCGTCCAGCTCCTAGCCGTGGCGCTGAGGGCACCAATGCTGCAGCGCAAAATAGGATCGATCTATATACTGCGAAGTGTGGAAAAACTCGATTGGATACGGGGTACTAACTTATATAGTATACAAATTGACAACCCACGGGAGGGGCTCAAATCTTGGCCTCCACATGCACCAGGTGGTAATCAAGGTTTTGTAGGTTGCACTGGCATATTTGATGGCTTGGCAGTTTTCTTGACCAAAAAGGAACCGGTCGGATCCAGGGAATGCTCCCTGCAAACCATCGATCAAAGTAGATGTCCAGCCCAGCAGCTCGACAGTCCCATGTGGGACCTTTTCTCATGCCCTCGTCGCTGACAGAGAACTACACATCGTGCCGTCCTTTTTCAAAGAGATGGCCTCCCATTTCGTGCCACACCTCAGTAGGTGGGCAGCGCGGTGGGCAGCTGATTAGCGGTGGAGGAAGCACGTCAGACGACCCGCGGTCGGAACGTGGCACCAAGTGCTGGAAACGTTTGTTGGAAACAAAGCAAGTCACTTGCCATGCCTGTTTGGGTCTGCTTTGCCGTTGTCAGCCAGTTCAGACCATCAAGTTTTAGGGCATGTATAGGGTGCATGGCAAAAAGGTCCACCAACAGAGGGAGAAAAGTATCTCCAAGTTGGTTTGTGGAACGTTTCATTGTTCTTTCTTGGACAGCAAGATGAACAAAAACCGTTCTTGTAACTACGGAATCAACTCCTCAGGATGCTCTTGCACCCACGTGCAGACCCATTTATGCCAAGCTGGTTCTGTAAAAAAGTAAACAAATTCACACCATGGACCTGCCCTGTCGTGCGTCCATCGAAGTGGCGCCGGGCTGTGATATCGAAGGTCGTGGAAAAAATGGCTTGGGCACCCTTTTCCATGCCCGTTTGTGCACGCACCTCCACAAAATCTGTGTGAAGGAAGATGGACGAAATGACTGCAAAAGGGGGGGATGTCCCAGTGTCGTAACCACATGTGCTTTTATACAAAAAAAGGATTGGCTGGTTAGGTTTGCATGTTCCACTATTGCAAGCACATGTGCACAAAGAATCTGGGCCATGAAAGTGACATCGTTGTATTTGTCTGCTGCAGAGTGGTAACCACACCACATGTGTGCAAAGAATATGGGTCATGAAAAGACATGGCTGTGATGTTGTAATCCACATGCGCACAAAGATGTTTGGTCAAAATGAACCATAAGACATGATATGACATGATATCCTGAGTATCGTTAGATTTGTAGGCTCCAGTGTTGGTTTCCATGTCTGCACTGAACAAAAATCGATGAAAAGACATTGGATGGTTGGATTGTAGGGGGGGCCGTGTGCAGAGATGTCTGGACCGCCCAACGGCCCCAAGGGTCTAACTCGACACGGCCCAACGGAAGACGGACCCAGCGGCCGAAAGACGGGAGGGCGGTTTGCGGGTTTCCCCCCGCCAACCAAACCAACCGCTGCACAAACACACAAGTAATAACACTGCCAGGAAGTGCAAGACACCATGATTTCAAGAAACCGTTTCTGGGTGTTTCTGGCTTAGCAAGGTGTGTTGTAGGGTTAGAAGAGGCTCAATTGATGGGGGGAGGCCCAGGGGACTGATGCTTTTGCCCCAAGTCCAGTTCGCGATTCGTATCCGCAATGAATAGGGAAATGGATCTTAAGGTGGTAAGGTGAGTTTTCCCCTATTCCCTACTAAGCACGAGTCAGAATGATATTGCGATTCGTGATTCAAAGCCGCACCCGGCCAATACAAACTTCTACTCCAGGCCCGTCGCCAAAGCCAGAGAAACAACTTAATAACGCGATGGGATGATTGAAGATCCAGAAAGGTTCGATGCAATGCCATATGAATGATCAATCGTGATTTTGCGAGCCGACCAGCCGAGAGCAAACAGGCAAGACCCGGTTTGCTGGAAAGAGTTGGCTTCCGGGAAGATTGGTCACCCCTTGACTAGCCAAAAGTTGGAACTGCTAAGGATTTGAATGAGAAAAAGGAAAAGGTCCACATGCAATGTGCACGTGTTTGGCACGACGGTGGAGCATACAAATCTAATCTAACATCTATACTAATGCGTGTTCTTTCTATTGTGACCCACATTCTGAGTGCACGTCAGGTTGCAAACACGTGTGGAGCAAACAAATCTATATAAATATCAAATTTATTAATCCAATTTCCTTGTATGGGTGTGGTTACAACATGTTACTACCTCTCGCATATCGGTCCACGAGTCGATGTCATGCCGGACGCTCTGGTCCGAACACGAAAAGGTTACAACATGTTACAAAGTGGAGAATACAAATCCAACGATGTCATTTCTTAGTCTAGTCTTGCCATACCCTCATATCCTCGGATGTTAAGGTTGTTGCCTAAAACAAGATGGTGTTCTACAAATTGATGTTGGGCCCAAGTGATCTCCCACAGCGTCCTTCAACTCATCTTCACCACTTCAATCTGCGACCGATGAGCTTGTACTTCGATACTGCAATCGCTCCTACCCGTCATTGGATTACTTGGAAGGGGTGAACTGTTCCGTTTTGGAACCAAACAACTTCCTTCGTCGACCGAGGGCCGAGGGCCGAGGCCGACGAGGCCGACAACGACGCCCCCTCGCCGCCCACCGACGCCCGAGGGGGGCCCCCGACTCCGCCAAACACCAACCTCAGCCGAGGGCCGACCCGTTCGACCCGTTCGGATCCATTCGGTGTGTACTTTTGATGATCCAAAAGAGAACATGATGATCCAACAGTCCGGTGTCTGTCGGTGTGTTGGCTTTCCTTTTGATCATCCGTGCTTACAGGCTACACCAGTAAATCATTTAATGAAGCAAGAAGCCAAAGAACTGTTATCCAGAGGTAGATCACCCACGAGTTTCTATGTACAGCAGCGATTGTTCTACCAATGCCATGCTTTCTACTGAAAAGTAAAAACTCCGGATCAACGAGTTTTGCTGATCCAAAAGCTGCAACTAGAGCGTCATGCCCGAGTAGATTTTGAGGTCCAGAGTATTCCTATTGCTGGTTTCGTTCTGTGTATGACTGTGAACTTTAAATCAATGAGAAAAGTGATTCCATCCGAGGGTCGTGTCCACCGACATGGTCATGTGCCCTGTATCATAGACTGACGAAAGTAGACCCCAGACTAGACTGCTCGAGGTATTCAAGCTCGTGTTCCTCCAAGAACAGCGCTGCGTCAAGAGCAGTGCAGTTCAGAGGACTGGAACGGTTCCGGCATGCTCACAGGAATTTATCTCGGACATGCTTCACCAAACTATGTTCAGTGAGAGTACCTGAGTACCTGTAAAACCTCCCTGTATCTTCTTTTGCGTCGTGTCTTTGTACGGATCGTCCCTAAGTGATCTCCGACGCATCGCCGTTCTCCGACGCATCGCCGTTCTCCCGGTCTCGACCCGACGGGTCCACGCTCCACGCGCCAGCTCGCCATGGTCCAAGGTGCGCTCTTGACCTTTCTTCCACCCGAAGAACGACGCTCGAACCACGTCGCCATGCAGATGGAACTGCTTAAACCAGATGTAGCCTTGGGCCATGAGCGGCCAGGGCGGCCATGGGCGGCCATGAGCGGCCATGGGCCGTGAGCGGGGCAGTGCGGGGCTTGGATGTTGGGGAATTCACGTGGCGGTGTTGGGGCAGGTGAAGGGGGACTAGTATGCCTTTTGATGCCGAGCAAGTCTATCTCAGATTTAGGTTCCTGATCATTACTTTGAGGACCCCAAGACTCCAAGACTGATCTATTTCAGCTTGGCCCAAAACCACGAAATGAGGCTATCCTGAGATGAATGCACAAGGAGGCAGTGCAGAGGTTTGCTATGGGCAGCATAACTAGGCAAAAAAAAGACTTTCCCCATCCCCTGAACTTGTGATTGCCAACACAGCAGCTCACAAATCAAGTAGACAACTGACATCTGGTCACTGTAGATGTGTTTCCCAATATTATCCTAAAGATGGAAGCAAGAAAATGGTGTAAAACTGCGAATCCATATGGAGAGCCAGGACTGCTGTTCCACTGATTGGCTCATACCACCCATCGAATCCGACCGACTGGGTCCTGGGCTCTTCGCATCCTCTGGCAGGTTCCTGGCAAAGATTTCGGTCGCCAGTGGCATCTTGCAAGTTTCTGTGGTACCATGGCCAGTGGTTTATACTATATATACTGATATATACTGCATATATATCTTTCATGTAGGATCATGGCATGTTTCATCCTCCCCAATTCTGGTACATTGGTTCATATTCGGTCGCAATGACTTGGTCAAGCATCAACTGCTTCAAGCAAGGATGGCTTTTCTATCATACGGTTCACTTGGATCTTTTTGAGGAAACCTGGTTCACTTGGTCAAGGTGTGGATGTGCTTCTTGAGAAAAAAAATATAGCCCAGCAAAAAAAGAAAACATAAACAGCCCAAACACACAGGTCAGATCTCATCCACGCAGATCAATGCAATGGAATGACACGCACATGTGCGGGGTGTTCGAAGGTGCTTTTGCTTTTCTTGATGTGGCCAAAGTGGGCAAAGGCGATCATCCGAATCGCATTTGAGGTTGATTCTCCGGCGCGGGACAGATCTTGTTCTCCTTTAAGAAAACCAGTTTCGTCTCGCTGTTGTTCGTGGTGCGTTCTGTCTGGGCCGCCCGACACTCCGCGCGCACCGAAAAAAACGAGCGTCATGGCGCAGCTGCCTCACATAGAGCCATTTGGCGCTGTCTTCCTCGCCATTGGTCGTCATGGCCTCGACACGGATGTGCCGACGTGCTCGCTCCGGAACAAAGGGAGGGGAATGTTGGATGGGACCGACCTGTCGCGTAGGACTTCAGGGCGGCGGTTCTTTTGAGGCTCCGGAAATTTTCGCAGGAGTTGGCTTGAAGACTATTCGTGGCTGAACTCAGGGCAAACCATGGTGTTATTCGATCTCTTTCGTGTCCCAGACCTCTTTCCCAGACCAAACAGCTTTCATCTTCAAAGCAAAGCCGTTTATCCCCCCCAATCCCCACGTGGCCAAATCAACAGTTTGTAGCTCGGTCTTCACTTAACCACAGCCAGTGGAGGCTCTGACTGGAAGTCTGGCTAGTTGCAGCACTACTGCATGCAGTTAAACAAAAGACTTCAGCTTCAAGTTACTTCCGGAGATGTTGATTGTTCAACTCCATTTGACCGGAGCATGAAATTCTTCTCTTTCCAGCTTGAAGAAACAGCCAATTCGCACTCCCTGCTTTGGTCAAAGGGTCCCCCGATTCTCAGGTGATTGGGCTTTTGTCCAGCCACCGTCAAGAACGCAAACAACACAAGGCTGTATTCCCCAAGCTCAGAGGGAAAACAAAAAACGCGCACCTCAAGAATCTCCCTTGATGTATCTTAATGTAGCAATCACCACCACTCCCTAGTTGGTGGTTCAAAGTGCACAAAAGGATCCCCGGGAGTTTCCTTTCTTGTCATTCTGCATCCACTTGTCACTTAGGTGGTCGGCGGTTGGAAATACATTTGCCCAGCAAAAGCGAACGCAGTTTCATTGGCCTTGCGCCAAAAGAACTGAACCGGTGCCACTTGAAACCGGAGTCCATCCATACCCAAAACTTAACCCACGACGTAGGCTGAGTAAAGGAAGACTAGGAACCTTTTATTGCAAGTAGAGACGTGAATGACCAGCTTGTGACGACACAGTTCTTCACCACTCTGAGACGTGCATTCCCCTTCCACTGTCAACAGCGCCTGACTCATCAAAAACTCGTCGTTTTGGGTTCGGATCTTTAGGCGCCCCAACGGAGGGGACCAGCGCGTCCGCGTCGCTGGGGCCTCGTCGTGCTGCTTTTTTCTCCACTGTGGTCCTTTCTCGCGGTTGCCCAACTGTTCCGTCAGTGCAAGAAATGCCTGGAGTTGGGTCTCTACAGGCTTTGACTGTTCAGAATTCTTGGGTTTCCACCGTGTTGTGCATGTGAAATGGTGGCGGTCCGCGCAAAAGATCCGGCAAAATCAGCAAACAGTCAAACACCATGACAAGCTGTTTGATATCCCGAAGCTGGCCGTCCACAGAAAACTCATGTTCCCAGAAGGTGTCATGGTGTCTGGACTGACACTGCTACTTCCCCAAACTGCCGCACAGGCCCACAAACTAAAAAAGACACTGCAACTGCAACTACCAAGAAACCATCCAGTTCATCGACTAAAGAACTCAGACTCTTACGATCTACGACCCAGTCATCACTTCTCCAGGATTTCATGTGGTTGTCCAAATGAGTGTGGCAGAAAGGAATAGCTAGCCCAAACACGAAGATGTTGTCCTAGTTTCCTACTGAAAGTGGTAACCACTATGTCCACTCAAATTGACTGGTTTTGGCTGAAGCATGTTGCATCACAAGCTCGCCCACCAATGCCCCAACCGTTTTGCACCTCTCAGAAGTCGCCACACGAAGCCTCGAAGTCTTTCCACACACGCGTGACCAAAACATTCAAATAGATAAATAAAGAAAGAAAGAAATGTGCATAAACGATGACGTCTCGACCCTGCAAAAAAATAAACGGCGTTCTACAATGTTCTACAACTAGTTCCGAAAAGCTTGTTGTTGAAAATGAGCGTTGGAGCTTTCTACTATTCTCTAGATTTCTCATGATTTCTCTAGTACATCCTTGTCAAACTTGACGAGTTTAGTTTGGGTGGCAGGGAATGTACAATCTTCGTGCTAATTTATAGTTTAATTAATGATGTTTAATGGTTTAAAGTGTGGACTATTGCTTGATGATGACGATGACGGCGACGACGATGATGATTAGAAGACCTGAACCAGAATAGTGATAGACGTTCAGACATTGGCTCAGCTTTGGACAGACCTACGTAAATGAAAGCAGAATGCAGCAGGGTGCACCGAACGGTTGAAAGTAGATGGTTGGTACCGAACGGTTTTCGCAGGATCGTAGACTCTGGTGGTTTCAATAGCGGGCTCCGGAAAAATTGAGATTTGTCCGTGTCATCCTTTCTGCTAGCATAGTCTACGTACCATGGAGTTCCTGAAGATCTTATGACAAAACCTGATTGTTCTGAGACCCTGTTGATGCGTCTCCCCTGTTGAAGCCTGAGACGCACCCACTTCGATCGATGGGTGGATCTGTCAAAAGGGTTCAGTCGAAAGGCTTCATCAATTCATCTGTATATCCCTTGTCCCCAACAAGGCGCTTTGGGGAGTTGTGCAAGATCACAGTGTGGACCTCTGTGACATGGATGGCCACTGGCCACTTCGATAAATCCCCCAAACACCCCACAGAGACCCAGGGAACAGCTTTGGCGGACGGACGGCCGAATTGGTCCTCTGCCCGTCCAGGCTGGGTTTCCCTGCCATGGTCCCAAATCCAGGCCGTTCAGTGTTCTCTTGAGCAGAAAAGAATTGAAGGCGGCATCTCTGTTTGACGAGGGTATAGGGTGGGGCGAAAATTCGGACCCACAGTTGTCAGGTGTCCCGTCCTGCTATGGACGAAGTACAAACAGAAATTGTGGTCATCCACGAAGCAGGATGCTGCAAGGCATTGCAGTGTGATCGAACATCTATACTATTATATCGTATTATCCCTGCGCATTGGATTTCATCAGCTCACAACTCCCACCAGCAAAGCTTCCAGATTCCTTATCAGAAATTCCAAACGCCCCCAAGCCAAGTGAGTGGACCGTCAAACCGACTTGCTTCACAAACAACAATATTAATATGCTCCTAATCCTGATAGCTTGAAGCCTAGACTCACACAACTCAGTTGATGTTGTTCATCATTGAGAGTGAACTGGAGTTAATACTTGAGTTCATTCTCACAAACCCTCACAAACCTCTCACATGCAAACTGGGCAGGATTTCCTGCGCCGACGTCGGCGGCTGCGCCGTGACGCATCCGGTGTTTTTGGGAGACACCTCGCTTCCCTGAAAACATACATCTCTATTAGTCCATCTCTATGTATTTTTCTGTGTTTTGGGGTCTGTTGTTTTGTTTTTCCATCTCTATTTGTGCAAGTTCCTCCCCTTCAGGCTGACACCAAAGTCCGGTTCCAAGATGTGAGGAGTCAGGGGCCCTGTCCTGTGATAGAGCCTGGGCACTTGCCCCTGTGCAAAAAAGGCATGCTTGCACTCTTTGGCCAATGAAAAGAGCAAAAACCGTCCTCTCCAATGCGTCAGTCCTTCCACAACTTCCTCCCAGGCCGCAAATCCAAAGAAAATGTCCCAACTGCTCAGCACGGCTCTTTCGACTCGCGGCTTTCCAGTGGCTTGGCACTCCTCTGCCCTGGCCGTAGGAACTCACCTGCAACGATCAGACGGTCGGTGCCGAGATCGGAGGGTCACTTGCGAGCCTTTAGGCTTTGCTTCGCAGTGGATGGGTTACATATACATGCATGATTGGTTCGCTTATATAAAGCAAAGGGGGTTCATGATCATGGGGATTCTCAAGTGACACCCAAGTAACCCGTGGATGTTCCTTTAGTTTTTCTAGCAGAAGCTTCGAGTCGCTATCATTGCTTCCAAGTCGTCCAAGAATCAGGAGAACTCAAACGCTGACTATATATAGTGACTGTACTTAACAAAAAGACATGTTCCAAAAGAGTCTCGAGCTCGGGAAGCTCGCTATGATCTTCCTCTGTCGGAATTGTGCCAGACATAGTCCAAGTCAATGTCAAGCCCTAAACCAAGTCTGACACTATGAGATCCAAGCCTCAGGGAGGTCAAACAAAGCCCTGCAAACATGCATGGGGTCCCAACCTGTCCTTAAGGAACTCCAGTGCCAAATGTGCCAAACCTCCAAAGCTAATCAGCAAACAAGTCTCTCCAAATCTTTCTATTTTGCATCACCGGGTCTCTAACTCTACAAAGGGAAGAGGGGTCAGAATATACAATAATATATATATATAAATACATGTTTAATGTATGCAGGTAGGGAGGTACAGGTGTCGACAATGCCTTTTGAACGGGTTGCCGTATGTCGGCGAAAAGGTAAGGAGGTATCACTATAAAATATACATGTATCTGTTTCCCTCTGTGTTTCAGGAAACACCGGGTTCCGGATCTGTCTGACAGGTGGGGGGACAGCACGACTCAAATTGTATGCATACGGAGGGTGTGTCCCCCACCAACCCATGCACATCCACATCTCCAGGACATTCGCGGCCGTTGTGGCCGAACAGGTGGAAATGGGGCGGGGGAAAGTGTGAGGCCGATCGTGGCCATTCTCAGGAAACCTCAGGAAGTTGATGTTTTCCAACAATGTATGAAAGCACGGGAGGGAAACCGTTCCCGGGAAGCATATTTTGTCAAGGAAATTGAAAGGTGGCAGGGGACATTCAATAAATTCCTATAATCATCAAATATCCTCAACCAACATCTTTAAAAAAAAATGATATATAAAATATCGTAAAAAACCTTTCCTGGAAATGAAATCTGGTCCCAGTCTGAGACGACCAGCACCAGATTGGCCCGGTCCGACATCCGTCGACGCGTCGACGTTCAGGCTCCCGAGCCGAATAAGGTTCTCCGGCCCGCAGGGTAGAGGAACCTCGACCGTCCAAAGAGAGTGAAAGACCATCCGTACCCAGTACCCTGGGATGGTCGCTCCTGGGATGGTCATCAGATCAAAAAAATCGCATGAATTCTGAGGAACAAATATCATCTGTAGATGCTCTGGTGGTGAATTTTGCACCAAATCTGCTGTACGCAATTCTGATACGCCTTCCTCCAGTTTTCTTCTGATCTTCCTTCGCCAAAGGGCTCTTGCCGCTGTCGGCGCGCCCGCGCTGCCAGGCTGCCCACAGCACGCTTGCGCCGACCAGCGCGCCTGGCAACAAACACCACCTAAAAGGATCTAAAAGGTAGCAACTCTTCTGTGGTTTCTCAGAACTCGTCAACGTGTTTGAACAGAAGTTCTGGTGATTCGATTGCGAAGTATGTGCATGTCCAGCTTGTCAGACAATACTGGAGTAGTTTGCGGCTGTGGAACCAAGTGACAAAATGCATGACGTCATGTTGAACAGCATTCTATAATTCTCTGCTCCAAAATGACCTCAAAACTCGAACTAAAGCCTTCATGCTGGACCCATGCTCCTCCCCATGCTTCCTCCCGCCTGCGTGTGGCTCGGGGCGGTAGCCGCTCTTCCATCAGGTCGGGAAGCTCCGAGATGGGCACCACCGGCACCCCCTGCCTGGGCGACCCGCATCGCAACAAAGCCGAGAATTCGGAGGGACGATCGGAGCAAGGCCCAACTCGAACGGTCGATGTGTAGGGAAAAAAAGGCAAGGCCCAAGTCGAACGAACGTCATGCGCATGGTCTCTCCGACCCCCGAAGCGTTTTCAGGCAAGATGACCCTGAGTGGCCGTTGGTGAGTCAAAACTCAAATGAACAGTGCCAGGTAGACTATCTCGTGATGTCTAAATGATGGCATTCTCAGTCACTTGGATCCACCCATATTCAACCTGTTCAACTTTCCCACCAATGGTGGACTATTCTATTATTCTGATTCTGTGTTCTCCAGACCGATGCAACAACCGATTAGCCCACTCACCTAAGGCCACGGGGCAAAGCACCTTCCTCGAGCAAGCTCGGCAGCGCCGCACGCGGCACGTCCACCAGCCACCCTGCGGCCAATCATGCACTGAGGAAGTGTGTCCAGTTGGTGGAAGTTCCTCCCAAGTTTGCCCCTTTGGGGGCATTGAGAATCAAACAGCGCACCATCGAGATGGCTGGTCAAACCGCTCACGAAGGGCCCTGGTGCTCTACGTGTGGCTCCTCGAAGAGAAAGCACTCGAACGGGGTGAGGATCGGGAACTCCGAGTCCGACATCTTGGACCGGGAAGAATAAGCTTCCCGAAGGGAAGTTTACCATATCAGGAAAAATATAAAGAAAACAAACCTCAACCAGGTACATCCCTCCGGAGCGTCGTCGCCATTCCATGGTCCTTTCCGTTGTTCTCACCCGCGCAGTCGACCACCGGTAAGGTCGTTCTGGTCCCCCGATGCTCGCCTTTCCGGCTCAATTCGATGCGCCCAATCTGCGCCTGGCGGCTCAGTCTCCCCAAACTGTGCGCCCAACACAGATTCCGATCAAGTGCCCCTCAGAGTCGTCGAAGAATTGGGTGACTTCTGTAGCTGGAAAGATCTTCGAAGTGGACACTGGAAATGTCAATATATATATATATATATATGCTGACTGACTGTTCAATATATATAATATATACCAAATCAAGGATGTTTTTCGGTGGACTGCGGGTCATTCCCAGGTGCTGTCCCACTCCCCTTCGAAGACCCTTCAGCTCAAGTCATGGACCATTTCTGAAAAGATACAAGGGGACTCATGATTGCGAGGCCAGGAGCCCCTTGTGGCGTCCTTTGCTCCTAGTAGCGATGCCAGGAGCCCCTAGTAGCTTCTTGTTCCTAGTAGTATGACCCTAGTAGCGTCCTTGTTCCTAGTGTTGAATAATCTTATCTGAGCGGCCGGCAAACTACGTGTCCCAAAACGCCTCTAGTAGATCGGATGATCGAGGTATCGTTTTTGGGATGGTGTATCGCTTTTCCAACCGGTTTTGACATTTTCATAGCCGAGGTATGCCGAGGTATCGTTCTCTACTACTTTCATCATGCACATCATGTGGATCTCATGCCTCAGCAAATCTGCTATGGCACTTTTCAACTACTCATTGCCGCAAGTAAGAGACAAACAGAAAAGTGGATATGGATTGAATATGATTGAGTCTCAAAATGATCAGATCTGGGCTCCTGCGTTCCCGGGCATTATTTTATAGCTTTTTGGGTATCGTTAGGGCATCGTCGTGTCTCCGATATTTTCAGACTGCAACCCTGTATTGTTAGCCATTGCCAAACACTTACAGACTTCAGGTGTGATGCGGGAGACCGTATGGTGCACTAAACTGGCAGCTACCAGCAGCAGCAGCAGCAGCAGCTGACCAAGCAGCAGCTACCAAGCAGAGTGGCTCCAAAAAATCAACAAATTCGATTCAAGACACGTCTAAATTCAGAGAGGGGTATCGTTTTTGGGATGGTGTACCGTTTTTCCAACTCAAATCGCTACGGCTGATTTCATCTAAATGATGAACAGTATTCCGCTGGTCACTCATCTACTGAATCAACTGCTATCTACTGCACTCTGGGACTCAAACCTGCTGGCATCCCCCACGGTTTCTTCCACCCCACACGCACGGTCGCGCGCGGAACGCGATGCGGACCGCCACGCCTCGGGTCGGCCGCGCTGCTGGTGTCCGAAGGCCTTCTGCACGGCTTTCAGCACGCTCTGCCGGCTCCGCAACTTCTCCAGGTGCCTCGGAGCGAAGTGTTCGAGGGCCATGCAGACAGCTGCGGTCAGCGACAGGTCGCTCCATAGACTGGTCCATGATGTCACAAGGATGGCAGGAAACGCATCCTTCTATCAAATACTGCTTCGTCTCAAAGAATCACGGGTTTCAAAGAAATCCGCCTTGGGTCATCAGTTTTTTTGTCACCATTTTGGAGATGCTTATTTTGGAGGTAAGGCATCCTAAACGCCGCAAGTGTCGACCCAAAATTCAAAGACTCTGCGCTGCTGCATGTTGGGGTCTGCTTGATTTTGTTCCGCATCGATAAAACCCTGGACCACCAGCCACAACAAACATGATTCTTCTTCCGCAGGACAAGGGCAGCAACCCAGGTTCCAAAAACAGATCAGAAACCCGCCAAAATGCTTTAAAAAATGACCTCGCTATGACTTCAATGGGGTGTGCTTCGCCTATGTCGAGCTGGGTTTGGGCTCCGATGTTTGTTGAGCCCGGCTGCGGATCCGCCAGCAGCAGGGGCGTATACCTGAGCAAACCCACAGAACTGGGTCTGTCAAGAACTTTCAGCAGGGTTTTGGACCGGTTTTGGAGAACTAGTCCTTCTTGTGACTGCTGTTCTTTGTACCCTTTGGTAGGCCTTTCTAGCAATCCACCTAGCTGACCACTGACCAAGCCAAGCGAGGAAAAGGATCATCTACCTGTCAAGGAACCTGTTCGCCGCTGCAAGACTTGCAATTTAAGTATCTTAAATCATATAAAAATAAACACCTGCATCCAGTTCAGAAAATATATACCTCAGGAGCATTGCACCCTGGTAGTTACAGTCCCCGAAAAGTGCTATACTGAAAACACTTCCGAAGTTCACAACACATCCAGTGACCTACTCAGGCAGCAAACTCAACAATGAGACCAGTTGGATAGCTCAAGATCCGGCAGATTTTGCCAGTCCTCCACCAATCTTCCCTGAGAACTACAAGAAGGACCACAAAAAGTCGCAGTCACGGACCTCAAAGCTGGTGTGACGTGCACAAACTGCTTGCTCCCACGACCGCTCAAAAAACGAATCAACACTTCGAGATCACTCCTCACCCAGCGCCTGGGCCGCCCGGAGAGTACCGAGAGCCACTCCTCACCCTGACGGCGGCGCTCCAAAAGCACCTGAGTCTCGGAGCGCTTGGCTCTCCCCGGGTGGGGCCGGGCTGCGGTGTGGTGGTGTGGGTCGCTGGTGGAAACACCTGATGGGGTCAGCTCCCAAGGGCCGGCGTTCTTTCCCAAGTTTTGAAACAAAACTGTTTGGAACTTTGGAACTGCAAAAGCTTGGAGATCTCGTGGAGATATGTGGAGAGCATGTGTTCCATCACTTCAGAAACCTGTTTTCATCATGAGCACCTTTTGGTATACATGGGCTTAAGTAATCACAGCGACTCAATAATGAAAGTCGCTGTATAAACGTCGCTGTGCTTCCAGCGTGGCCAAGCCTAGTTGGGGTATCCAACTGGGTGGAATGAAGGGGTAGAATGAGAAAACCTTCTTGGCAAGGGCCATAGGCCATGGTACAGGGGAGTCTTGGTTTCTGCACCTTCTGAAACTACAACATTAGGACATACATGGACATACCCTGATCCATACCTAAAGAAATCCATTTTGCCCTATACCTGGCCCCTTCTCGACGAAGGGACCAAGGCGGCAGCTAGGAGCCGTGGGCCGTGCAGCTCCAGCTGTTGTGCAGCATCTGCCTCGAAGGCCATGGTGTCGTACCTCTTGGCAGGTCGGTCCAGGCTCCGACGTCGAGTCGAAGGGTCGGTGGCCAGGACCGTCGGTCCGTCGTCATAGTCACGGGGGATGTGATTCGATTGATACGACGCCCTTCGTTTGAAACGAGTGGGTTCGATTCAACTGATGTCCGGTCAGCGGTTTGATGTCCGGGTGAATGTCCAGCAATGGCCATGGAAGCCATCTCGGCCAAAAAGGCGGTGTCTTTTTTCGGGTCATGGCACACACACACACACATGCACGCACACGCACGCGCACGCACGCTCGCACACACGGCGAAAGAACATCGAACAAAACAGACGCTCCATGGAAGTTCCATATGATCGTGGTGGTTTCCTGGTACTTTGGTCTGTCGGAAATTGGGAGTGGCAAAGCAGCAAGACCGGCTGTATCGACTGGCTCCGGCTGTCGAGTCCAAGATCTCAGAGGCTGTCTTACTCCTCAGGATAGGAACGATCTTTGAATGATAAATTCAGGTGGGCGTTTGCACCTTTTTTCAATGACTATCACTTCATCCTCTTCAATGACTGTCACTGAAAACTCACTTGGTCAGAGGTGTTTGGATATGTTTGGATCACCTTCCTACTTGTAACCTCCACAAAGATCACACCCACACAACGGACCATGTTGGGCAGGGGCTGCCAGAATTCCCATCTGGAAATCAATCAAATGGCACCGCATTTTGACCAACCGCATGTTTATCAATTTATCAACCACCACTGACTCTCTGTTCCAACGCATTTCACACATGTGCACAGAAAGGACCTTTTGAACGTCCTGATCGCCTCCTCCCTCCATCCATCCTCCATTCCCCTTGATCGCCACGGAGCTGTTGAGTGGCCAGGCGCAGCTCCGACGCGATGGCGGCCACCGCGCTGCGGCGCAAGAGCTCCTCGTCGGGCCGCTCGAGGCGCACGAAGCTCCGCTGCAGCTCACGCCTTTCGTCTTCGCGACGCGGGCGACGCGGAAACCGCGCGCGCTGGAGCAAGAGGATGGGTGCGGGGCTGTCTCGAGTCTAGCGTAGTGTAGCTATAGGGAGTTTTGTGGGTGTTGGAAAGTTCCAGAAATGGCAGATTCTCGTACATATCTCATGCAGCCGAAGTGCACTTTTCATAGGGACTCTGTTACACGAAGCGAATCCTCTTCTGGGTGGCCTCTGTGTTTGGTCCATATTGGCCCGCAGTGAGAATTGCGTGCCTCTAGCCATTTCGAAAAAAGGCGAGGATGGAAACGATCAGTTTTGGAGGCCAAAGCCGACTTCAGTGACTTGCCTGGAGAATGACTCCCTCGGAGGAGTCAACCACAGGTTGATTTGGTCACCATTCTTGAAATCCCAACGTTGTCGAGCAAATGGTTGTGGAACTTCCGGTACCTCCTTGGCTCCCGGTTTCAAGGGGAAATATGAATACTCTCTCGGATCCTTAGTTCCTTCCTAAACACCGGCTAGCTGCGGCTAGCCGTTGTTTGACTAAAGCAATTTGAAAATTCATCACATGACCATGTCTTTCACGGCCGCTGGACAGCTTGGTGAGAATCCCGCTGGTGCAAAAGCTCAAACATGCCCACAAACCAGAATTGTCTCACCAAAGAAACTCTGTGGATTCTGCATGTTTGAGTATGTTGCATCGGGCAACCACCAGGATTCCAATCGGACAATCCTGTACAACTGTGCACCCCCTTGAAGAGACATAGCCAGACATAGCAATCCATCTAGAGATTTCATGGGACATCCAAAGTGGTCCTTCCCACGTCACTTCCCGCTGAGGACCTGTGGAAACTTCATTGAACCACTGAACCACCTTCAAAACCCGTCGAAGCTTTCTGAAACTCCTGACCGTCAAATTTGGCCGGATGCTCACGTCAGCCAATGACCATGAAGCAAAAAAGACACTGAACCCCTGGTAAGAGCCAGCGGCTGAAGCCTCTGAAAGACGAAACTGTTGCAGAAGGTCCGACACCAAGCCGCTCCAAAGCTCTGAGTTTCTGCTGTTGATGTCCGGCATAAAGCACCAAAGACATGGTCGTCATCTGATCCGGTCGATCCGACCCGGACCGGCACCGGTGAACACCGAGGGGTCAGACCGGTGGGCTCAAGCAGGTCCGGACAATGCGTTGAAGGTGTGAAAAGGCACGGGATGTTCATCCCAGGTGTGTTCGTGAAGGACATAAGGCGACATAAGGTTAAGAGAAACTTCCGGATGACTTGGAAACCTTGACACAAACCGCCATTTGACGACACATTGGTTGAGATAGATACAGTAAAAGTAGAAATCTCGACCCTAGTGAGTGCGGATGTGAGCAAACACCTCAACTCGGCACTCTGCGAGTGCAAAGTGTATTGTCAGGGCTGTGAAGTCGAGATTAGGTGCCTAGATATCTGAGTATCTGCAGAAAAAAAATTGAAAGCAAAGGTTTCTGTAGCAAAACTTGCAAAAGTGGAGGTTTCTTGCAAAATGCAAGAAAATGGTCGGGACTTGGAGAAACAGTAGTAGAGGCTAAGGATGGAAGGTATCGCGGTGTCTTAGTACAAGGCTGGCCAGTGGCCGTGTGTCTGGTTTAACTGCTGAGTCCGCTTGTCATGTGCAGAAGCATTCTTCTCCCAAAACAGCGGAGTGAGCGAGAGTGAGAGTAAGACAAGTTGCAGTTGGAGGAGCAATATCATGTGACTTCGTTCGTGATATATCATGATACTTAGACAACTTAGTTGGAGGAGCAATATCATGTGACCCAATTGATTCAATCATGGCACTTCACCACCACCCCGCCTCTCGTGGTCGCCGTGACGACACCGACGACGGCGCAGCGAGGCAGGCGATGCGCTGGAGGTACTGGTCGAAGGTGGGAAGTGACCTGGGAGAGGTTGAGGAATCTCTAGTGGAAATCAGAAATTCGGTCGGAGGCACCTGGTTTTGGGAGATCTTGGGCCATGTGAGGCGGTACGCTTGGGTGGTGCCGCCGAATGGTGAAACATGCTAGCTTCGCACGAGTATTGCTGGCCTGAAGTCGCCACCACTCCTCGCGGGAAGACGTCCAGGCTTGGGCTGAATGTCATATGTCCAGTGCAAATCGCATATCAACTGAACACTACATTGGTCCACCAGTGCGAACTCTTCGTCGGGCAGATTGGTGATTGATCCGGATTTGCAGGTGAGGAAACCCATACTGCACCACCTGAAAGCCGGAGAAAGAATCCAAAAGAAAAATCACCACCAAACCACCCGGTGGGAAACTCTTGTCCAAGGGGTTGATGTAGTTGCTATCTGCACCATTCTCAAACCTGGTGCAAGCATGCGCAAGTGATATCCTGGCACTGCTGGTGATTAGCTTCTAGCAAACCAATCTGAAAGCGATCGCCGACAACGTGCAACTCAGTTCAATGGCCCAAGAAGAAACAAGTGGAGGCCTTGGTGTATGTACAAGATCCCATTAATCACACTTTAGAAACACTGGAACCCTCCATCTCATCGTGCTATTTGTCCATGTCCATGTCCGGTGTGTGAGATGTTCACCGATCATGAAGTCATGTTGGGCCGTCAACAGTGGTTCATAAACACCCCCGAAACGCAGGTGGCCCTTTGCAACTGCTTGCGACCACCTGGCAAATGCACGACCAACTGCACCGCTGGCAACTCCGCATCCTGGGGCCACCAACCGGGCAGGGTTCCGGTGAACATGATTTGGAAAGCCATGAGATCTCCGAAACGGGTTTGAATTGGGCCGGGATCTGACCAGATCGCCTCAGCTTTGTTTCTGAAGAAATTGGCAGAAACCATATGGCCAAATGGTCTGAAAGTGGAGTCCGCAAACTCTGACATCTATATACATCCAGGTCGGGGAAAAAAAAAATCCGGAAGACTTCAAATATACAGCAAATTCCAAAGAGGTTTTTGGATTGCCTCAAAGTCATCTATGGGAATCAAAAATCAAAACACGGCGTTGGTGAGACCGAGTTCCCCCGGCAGCCCCATCCCGACATCGACGTCCATGGGCGTGGTTTTCGGAACATCCGAGCATCGCGGTCCATGCTGGGTAACAGCAACGCTGAAGTGTCTTCTCATTCAAGAAACATCTCATGGACGGGTTGAAACCTGATAAAAGCAAACAAAAATATTCAGTGGCAACATCTGCGTAAAGCAGTTTGCTTGCATCTTGGAACATGTCGAGGAATTGCCACAAGATTGACATGAAAAAATGGCGAACAAACCACGTCAAACGGAGTCGGGCCTTAATGGCCGCATCGCTGGTCAACAGGATCTGTCCAGGCATCGCTTTGAAGAGGTTCAAGATCTCCTTCCAGTCAACCACATCGCTCATGGCAGCAAAGCCACAATTGGCCATGCCAAACGCCGCATGACGGAAGAAAGAACCTGGTTACTCCAAAGCCACAAAGAAAGACGTGGATAACCCTTTTTTTTCAAACTTCCCACCTTGTTTTTTAGACCCCTCCATACATGTTTTTAAAAACCCTCCACCATATTTGCTAACCTTCCACCATTCTTTTTGGTCCTCGAACTTGTTTTTTCAACCCTCCACCCTTACTCAGTGAGAAGGGGTTGTTGGGTTGTGGTTGGGGTTCCAAAGTTCCAACCCTTCAACCCTGGTAATTGGCTTCCCTGAGCTGCTTGGTTGGGTCTGGATGGTGTGCAGAGCTGACACGCCGCTGCGGCCCCATTCCAACTTGTCTACACCAATGTCAGGGCATCCCATGTACGAGGGCTGCAACGTGGGCTCAGGAAGCAGTCAGAGCAAACCCATGAGTGCGGAAGTACGCTGGCATTTGTAAAGTATGCCCTTTCAAGCCTATCACCTGAAGCAAAGGCTGAAGGAGATGGGAATACCAAGTTGGTCCTTTGGGGCGCAGCTCTGCCATGAGGAAGACACACAGGTTTCCAGTCGAAGTGCTCCACGGGCACCAGGGAAAGCACGTGCAAGAAACAAAAGCACTAGGCTGCAGCGGTCCAACCGCAAGAGCCCGTGCTTTCAGAAAGGACGCTTGGGTGACGTTGGCGCAAACCTCGCCACAAGGATACGCTGCACTGCGTAAACGAGCGCCTTCTGGGCCAAGCCAGGGATCCGGCAATGGCACTTTCCACAGCAAGGGCAGGAAACGACAGAGTTTGCGTTTGGGTTTTGCAAGAAAGGAAGCTTGCGCCGGGTGAACAAAGCAGGTCAAGGCAAAGTTGAGTTTCAACGCTGCGAGGACAATGCTGTGCATCCAGCTGCATCCAGATGAGAGGAGGGCATGGGGAGCTGCAAAAGCATCAAGTCTTGTGCTGAGATGGCGGCCATGAAGTTTGACGGCGAAAACTCCGCATGCAACTTCGCAAGATGCGCGCGCAGCCCTACAAAAAGGCGGCTTGGTTGTCAGGTGCAGCAACCAGCAGTTGCCCAACTTTGTCATGCGATTCAACAGAACCAGAGTGGCCCTGCGCCGAAGATCAGGCCAACACCGAGCCAGCTGGGGAATGCAGCCCTGATCACTTTGGAGGGTGATTGCCCTTCCCACATCAACTTTTGACGCTGGTATGTTGCGGCGGGCGGCTGCTGCAAAGGGAAAAACTGTCAGGCTAGCCATACGTGGGAACACATCAAGAGCCTTCTACGGAGGCATTGGTGAACGTCAGAGGACAATTGACGCAAGTTTTGGAGGCTGCGCGTAAGCTTGCAGAGGAGCATTGCAGCTGGACCTCCACACGCAGGTCTGGCAAAGGACTTTGCGTACTGGATTGAAGCATCATGACGTTATGTTTTCCCACAGGCACGACCATGCGATGACAGTGCGCACGCGCGTCGCGCCTCATACAAAAAAGGTCTACAAAAACACTTCCCCAAGCCGATGGCATCGCGCTGTATGGGCTGCCAGGGCAAAGCAGGGGTAGGTGGTGTGGGTGATTTGTCAAGTCAGCAAGGGCTGCAGCGGCCTGCCTGCGTTGGTGAGGAAGCCGCGGAAGAAGAAAAGGAAGGGCCGCGCCTTGGCTGCAAACAAGCCGAAAACTTCCAACGGCGCAAATGTTTGATGCTGTGTTGCAATTGGCATTATTTCCATGGCCACAAACAAAGTTCCAAACCAGCGGCATACCTCCAGACCACCTATTTCATTAAAGTCCCCATGGGCAGATTGCAGAAGAGCTTTCGGTGCACATCTACTTTGCAGGAGGCAGGCGGTCTCTTGTTTAAGTGGATTTTGGGGAAGCATCTTGGGCACCTCTCCCGGAACTGGATAGGGACACAAACGCTGGAGGCTTGCCAAATTCCATGCTCAATGGCATGGCAGAAACTGTTTGCTGCAAAGGCCGTGCCCAGCTGCAACAGATATATTTGGCGTCGTGAGAAGCTGTTTGAAGAGGATTGGGCCAGGAAGTTTCCGCTGCCAGGGGCTGCGAGGGCTTAGGCTTGAAACGAGGTTGGGGAAGATGGTTGGGAAAGCAGTGTGGACAGTGGGTAGAAAAAAGGTTGTGAGGGTTACCTGCCTCCCAATGTCAAAATTCAGGCTCAAAAAAAACGGTGCGCAGTTCTAAAAAAGCAAGGCGCTGGTTCCTGCACGGGAACGCGAGTGCGCCAGTATCTAGGCGCGCTGCATATCATAGGAAGTTATGCGAGGAATTCATTGAAAGACTTCCTATGATACACCGTGAATTGCATAGGTGCACCTGGCCTGGAACTTGGAGGAAATTACTGGATCTAACTTGGCCACACGGTGTGCCACAGACTAGATACAATGATGTAACACCAAGCCCCGTGGACACCGCCAAGCAGTGGAGTCCAAAAAAAAGGCCGCGCTTGAGAAAGAAAAGTGGCGGGATTGCTACAAATCAGCGAAACACGAACTAATCATGGCCATGGCTTTCTGAATCTTTTGGATATACCAAGGTTCCGGAATCATGAATTGGAAAACCACATCCGAAGCAAAAACGAACATACGGTAGCACCATAAGAGACAGTCACTTAAGCAACTTCACTGGATCCCGTTTATCGTGCACAATTCATACCGGTGGTACTTCCACAATCATCGGTTCTTGCCCATGACTCATATGATCACGAATTGAATTATAAGGCTTTTCAGGACACCCAAGGCCGGCCCACAACACCTGCCATCGATACGGAAAAACTGGGAGTCAACGTCCCTGTCTTCAAGCAGTGCAAAGGATTTCTGTACAGTAAGGAAGTTCCTCAATCCCCAAGAGCTATCATCAGGGTCTGCATAGACGAGCCTGCCGACAGCTCACGCAAAGGGGAAGGGATGGGCGCGAGCTCACCAATTCATTGGGAAAAACAAAAATGAAATAACGCAGTGAATCTCCTGCATCCAGGTACAGGCTAAGCAACCCAAAAAAATAGAACTTAAACATACACCAAATAATGCCACCCTGAAAAACAGTTTTGACGCTCAAATCGGGGCCACCATGCTGAATTTTGAGTCACGTTGTCTTACTATGTGTTTTTAACGGTGTATGATCGACCATTTGTTGCGCTTGTATTGTTGCAAAAAGCCAGCAAAGGCAATCGGGCCGCAAAATCAGTAAGCATCCCTGTAGGCACTTCAGCAAACGAAAAAATGGAAATTTGGTTTTGCAACCCGTTTCGGCAAATTTTTTATGTTTATATAACTTTATCTTCTTTTCGTTGGTGGTATTTTGTTTTTTGTGTTTTGTTCACGGGTCGTATTTTTGGTTTTGCTGGTGTCTTTCGCGGGTCGTATTTTTTGTATTTTGTAATTATGCGTTTTTTTGTAACTTGTGTTTTTGTATTTCGTGTGTTTAGTGTTTTCCGTTTTTTGTATTTTACCAGGTACGAGAAATGTCGTATCTGGTTTGTCTTTTTGAAAAGTACAAAAGATCTTTTGCTTCTTTGCTTTATAAAATTTCACCCTCGAACTGCGAACGGGCAAAACCCACCGGCAAAAGGTCTTTTAAAATTTCACCCCAACCACGAGAGGCTGCTCCAAAAGGCAAGGGGGCCAGCTTCCCATCCCACCCATATCAATGCATACAAGTGGCAATTTCCTTGAATATGGCTTGTGCATTTTTGCCTTATTTTAAGGGCTGTATTTTTAAAGCACCAAACACAGCTGGAATTAATGGCAAAGCTTGTAGGTCCGCGTGCCTGGGTGAACCTGCATGTGTAGAAAGTATCATGAACATTCGCGAACGGTTTGATAAGTTAGTTTTTGCAAGAGTCCGTCCCCACCACTTACGGTTAGGGCGTCGCGCCGCCTGCACACGTTGATGATGGTGGAAGGTAGTGTCAGTGATGGTGATGGTGGCGATGATGATGGTGGTGGTGGTGATGATGGGGTCATTTTGGTGGTCGTGATGGTGGTGGTGACGACGGTGGTGGCCACAAAAACCGCACGTCCACAAGGCGCTGCCTGCTACGAAATCTGCACTTCAAGGTCCACAAAGTGCTGCACACGCCACGACATCTGCACTTCAAGGTTCACAAAGTGCTGCGCCTGCGCCTCAGCAGCAAGAGTACTTCCAAAGGCAACATCAAGATGCCAAAACCCAGCTTTCGCTCAAGGCTGGAAACCTCCTTCGACTTCTGAAAGCGAGCCACATGCTGCTGGGCGGAGCGCCGCTTCAGAGCAAATCAAAACAGTATTCGAAAACCAAATGTTTGATTTACTCCTACGCCGCTTCAGAGCAAACCAAAAATGCGAAAAAAATTTGCTTGAGTTACTCCTACTGGGCGGAGCGCTTCAGAGCATAGCGATGGCCTCCACCCTACTACCGATGGCCTCCTAACTTTCAAGCCCCCAAAAAGTTTTGGCCATGCTGCGTGGTGCAACGTGCAAGCCTGCAATTTCCAAAACATTCTAAAACTATTCGTTGGTTTCGTTCACCAGCTTTGCAACCTTGCTTTGCGTTCCCAGCTCTTGCCCAACTTGCAACTCAGGCGCGGAGGTGCTCCCGCAGAAGTAATGCGGTTGCACAACTACTGAGGACGACGTCCTATGAACAGACCTGCACTCTTTACTAGAGGGCTCTTGCATGACACTGGATTTGGTGGCATGATTCTATGCTCACAGCACTCGCAGATACTCCTGAAGGACCCTTCGTATCGGACATTTTTGTACCTTGTGCCCCCGTTATGGAACGCAGTCACCTTGGAGAGGTTCAACCGCCTGTGAACCAATGAAAGTCTGAAATTCAATAGTGACCGGTGGACCTCCTCTACTGTCCACTACCTTTGTCCCCACTCCTTTGCGCTCTCTGACAACGCCATGATGGACAGTTTTCCTTGCCCTGCCACGACAGCAGAGCACCCCAAAGACCACCACCATGTCCAAA